CTATTGAGTCTACTTCAGATTTGTGCCGGTGAAAATGATGGAAGCAGTTACGCATTTGAACAAGTACAGATGAAAGTTCATGGTTTCGTTTTCTTTTGTTGTTTCACAGTTGATCGGGGAGTCGAAAGAAAATAATGACATTGGTCACTCTATGAATACCACTATGTTGCCAAGTTTCTATCAACTATAGAATAACAACTGCAAAGACAAGATATGGCATTTTCTGTATACTTATTCACATTTGTATTTGTTTATCTGATTTTTACTATCACAAGTCTAAAGACAGCATCGTTTTTTAAACGTTATTGAATATAGATAAGATGGAAGAGAAGTACACACAATCAATTATGGCTGAATTGAGAGCTCTTTCTTTCCGATATTATTCACTAAGATCATGAGATATGTCAGAAGATGGAATCATTTGAACACAAAATGAGTAAATGCATTTTAAAGGAGCACTAATAAGACTCATGAGAATCCGAAACCGGAAGGTTTTGCGATGCTTTGTCGTGCACTTATCCAAATATATTCTTTACTCTTCCTAGCCACGCGTCTTCTTTTTTGGAGCTATTCTGAATTGATGCAAAGTGAATGTTTCGTTCCAGATTTCCGCCACATGATATTCCATCATCGAAGCCAGAAGTTTCGTGCCGACTAACGATCTTTGTATCACATTGCTCGTATATCAGCAAAAGCTCTCTTATTAATGCTTTTTGCAGGACACTCATTGCCTCTTTGTCCGACTATTCTGCTAGTCCGAATACAAACATTTAAATATATCAATCACTATTATAAGTCTTTTTTCTCATAACTTTGCAAGCAAATTCGATTCAAATCTTGTTAAACTATCGTCGAAATAAAGCATAAACTAAATATTGTATTAATTTCATTGTTAAAAACACGTTCTTCTCAAATTCTTGTCCTTTAAATAGTAATTCTGTTTATTTGCAACTTGAACGCGAATAGAATGACTCTTCTTCAGCGGCGTAACTTATTACTCATGGCAGGAGGACGCAGCATATTAGAGTCTAAAAAGTAGGATCTCTGCGTAGATAAATTTGAAAAGCAGGGAGCGTTATGCCCCATGAGTCGCCCCGTATTTATGCTCCTGCTCTTCTTCAGCTGTTTCAGCAGGCTTCATGACGCGTCAAGTGCATTGACAGGCATTCCAAGCCACTTTTCAACTGTTACTTTACCTGTTTCTGATTCGTTTGAGTTCTTTTATTCATGTGTAGAATCATGTTTTCCTAGTCTACACAGTTGAATAGTACCTTCATAAATCTGATTGAATGGACAACTTTGTACTTTTGACGAGATTCGATCGAATAATGTTTTTACATAGACAAAGTACTGTTTCAAAAATCGTTTTTTATTTTCAATACTTTGTAATTCGAATTACTTTTTTTTTAAAATTAAATCTCTGCATACATAATTTAGTCACACCGACGAAAAATAACTCAATATGTTCATGGTTCAATTATAATCTCTTCACATTTGATACACAGACTTGTCACGTTATTGTTGGCACGTCGATAACCATCTTTACATACACAACCAGATAAACATTGCAATGTCGGACATGGTTTACGATTTGGCGATTGACACGATGGTTGACATGGATTAACACATTCATTTGGTTCTTCGTTTTCACCACATTCAGGAGCAGCTTTTGTTAGAACTAGAAATAAAAAAGAGAGCGCCACATACCTATTTATTTTCCCGAGAAGTGATTACTCACGAGGACATCTCGATGCATCGATACAAATCAAGCTATTGTTTCCATCACGCAACAAACCTTCTTTGCACACACATGGATATCGACTGCAAATACGCGGACATGGCATTCCTTGTGGATTTTCACAAGTCGGTTGACATCTTAGAAGTGGAGCGCAATCAACCTGTATTTCTGTTGAACTGCACATAGCATCTGAACTTCTCTTTCGATAAGCTATAAAGAACAAGACAAAATCTCAGATATATTATTTTATATTTTTATTGATTACCTTGAATGTCATTTACTGAAAATATCAGTACTAATATAAGAACGGATAGTGTCGAAGAAATCATAGTTGATATAAGTCGATCGTAGTTCTGCTAAATATTTTGTTTGCCATCGGTTCTTTTTATATATTCAACAAGAGAACAGAAAGGAAGATGTTTTACGCGTGATTGAAGTGTTGTGTACGAACTGAGACGCTTAAGAATGAAGAAAGGTAGTTGAATAGTCATCATGCATCATTTACTATTGTGCGCGATATTTCATCGACTGGCGAATGATTCATTTAATCAGCTATGAAAAAAAGTTTCTATTCAAAATCTTGCATTACTAAATAGTAAATATATTTATTCAAGAGGCAGTAATCTCAAAAGAAAAACGAGTCGATCGATGCAATAGAATATTCGAGAATTGAGTATTTATATTATTTCTTGATGAATTCGACAATTCTGAAGTGTTATTCGAGGCATCTGATATTTTTAATCAGAATGAATCCTATTCTGCTGAACGATAATAACAGTAATCATAAACGATTTGTAATCACACACCAATGATCTTCTAAATCAAAATATTTGACAAACTATTGAAAAAATCTTATAACTTGCTTTTGTATTTCTCTTAATTCATTTGTTATATTCTAATTTTCAGATAGAATTGAACTAATTGTTTTCTATTAAAATTTTCTTCCAACCAAATTAGAGAAACATTGAAGATGAATCCGACTTTTGTTCTTTTGAACTAGAAACAGGATCGGAAGAATTATATTTCAATCTCGTTTGCAAACACTTCTTGTCATCAAAAAAAATATCATCGTACACTGATTAATCTTCAATTTATCACCAACAGATAGATTTCGGAAAAGAGATATTTCTGAAAATTTTAAAATTTCCAAAATGCTTTCCTTTCTATTGCTGTAGGATTTTTGTGATGACCGAAAATTGTTAGAAATCTGCACATATTTCAATTTTATCTAAGATTAAAATCGATTTAAACAAGAACTATTACTGTAACTGGTAGCGTAAGAAAAGAAAGACTGAATTTTTTTTGATGATTTTACATTGTTGAATGTCTCATATTTCCAAAAGGAAATATTTTGGAAAGTAATCGAAAAAATTCTCTAATTCGACATTAGTTCAACATCGAATTATCAGAATCGGAACTGAAAAAAGAAAGGCGTGTGTGTGGGTGTAGGTGTGGGTAAGTGTGGAGGTGAGTGTGGGTGCGGGTGTGGGGTGTGGATGTGGATGTGGATGTGGGTGGGTGTGGGTGTGAGGGTGTCCGCATGGGTGCGACTGTTTCTTCATCCACACCCCACACACCCACATCCACACCTCACATCCGCACCCACACTCACACCCACACCCTCCTCCGTCATATTATTTTTTTAACACAATTAACTAATCTAACTATAAATTGGGGTGTGTTTTGTTTCGATCGATTACTTGAATTATTAAGTATTACACCCAATATTCGAACATTAAAAATTTATTTTATACGTTTGTATCAATCAAATCCAGTGTCAATACAACAAAATGAATTTTTTCGTTTGGTATCCAATAGAAACAAGATTACAAGTTTAACTATTTCTCGTATTTGTTCATTAGATGAATATGAAGTACTTGTCGCTCTGTGTCCTCAACTACAACATATGATACTGAATATTTCAATAAATGATCTTGAGGGTGTGGGTGTGGGTGTAGTTCTTCTCTTAACCCACACCCACACAGGTCCTTCCATTGTTAGTCATGGAAAAAGCACTGAACGGAATTAACAATACCACTTATACTATAAGAGAAAATTGTAGATCATCTCAAGGCGTTCCTCAGAGCTTGGATGCATGCCATATGTTCATCAACATTTGAAATAGTGTGATTCTTGTGAAAATAATAATTTTGATTCGAGATATCAATAATGATGATTAATTGTGATGCATACGTTTGCCACATTTATGATATAATCAGCATAGAAAACTTCAAATAATCAAGCTACAATTTTGTGAAACAAACAATAAGAGTGCTTGGTAGGTTATCAAGGTACATAACAATAGTGCATTGAAACTTCCTGTTGACATAATCGATATGTATAATTGGTAGTTACAGTAATCATCATGGCAAAGTAACAAGAGAAAAACGACATACGAAAATGAATAAGGGAGATTGTCTATCTAAAAATTAATAATCCTTACAAACAACATAATAACCGGATGGAGTTTTTTATTTCAAGTATTTTGTATTAGTACAATGAGGCTAAAAAAAACTCTGTGTGAGTTCTACATTTTAGCCTAGTAGGGACTGTGCTGACAAGTTTGTTCTATTTTTATTTTCAAAATAAATCTTTAAAATTAGAACGCATTTTAGAAATAGTTTATTAAACAAGTAACGTTCATCGTCAAGCGATTCACTTAGCCCTAGACTGATAGAATACATGTACGGAAGGAATAGCATAAAAAGCTACATTAAAAAAGTAATACGCAACATTGATAATATGACCAGTATACCTTAGGCGACCAGAAAACTTAATTTGGAGAATTCTCACTCTAAGTAAAGATGATGCATTTACAAATTTTATTTTTTTTATCGTTTTTGTTTTATTTTTTTTTTGCTTTTATGAATATAAATAGCGCCTAATAAGATTAGACAACAATACGATTTTTTTATAATTATATTGGCGCTATTTGTACGTACAAAAATATGAATTATATTATTCATAAAATTTGAGTTTTATTAATCAATATTTTATGCTTAAATTCACGCATTAATTCTAAACTATTAATAAATTAGATATTCATTGATACAACATTGCACAATCAATCTTACAATAATGAATAATTTAAACGATTTCTTTAAATCCATACTGCTCATTTGGTCTGACTCTCACTAATTAAATGCTTGTGTAAGTAAGCCGTTTTACATCACTACCCAAATTATAGTTATTCCATTGACATTTTACCCATGATTATTATGGGTTCATTTACATCAGTCTTTAGATGGTCATTTGTACCATAGTTACCGGAATAGTTGTTTGTACCATGATTGCTATATGGTCACTTGTGCCATAGTTATGTGGTCGTTTCTACCAAAAAAATGACCGTTTGTGCCATAGTTACATGCTCATTTGTACCATAGTTACCTAGTTAATTTTAGTAAAAAAATGGCCGTTTGTGCCAAAAAAATGGTCACTTGTGCCAAAAAAATGGCCATTTGTGGCACGAAAATGGTCACTTGTGCCAAAAAAGTGGTCGTTTATGCCATAAAAATGGTCACGTGTGCCAAAAAAATGGCCATTTTGACTGCGTTACCGACAGACAGACGGACAGACAGACAGACGGACAGACAGACAGACAGACACAGGTGAATTTCGGTTTCTAGACGCTAGCCTTTCAGTCTTGGGAATAGAAAGAAAATCTTATTTTATTGGCTTTGCGCGCCATTCGAAATATATATTTATTTTTATTTTAACGATCACATAGTTACCATATGGTAACCATACGTGTTACAGACAGACAGACAGACAGACAGACAGACAGACAGACAGACACAGGCGAATTTCCGTTTCTAGACCCTATACTTTCAGTCTAGGGAATAAAAGAAAGTTTTCATAAAACTATGAAATTAATAAAAATTAAGAAAGGTAATCATCACTAAATAAATGAATGTGATTAGATTCTTTTTACGTAAATCATGGTGAAAAATGAAGAATTTTTGAAAATAAACGTCAATCTATATGGCATGAATAATGTCGGTTATTCCTGAACTTGTTTGGATGGACATTGAGAGACCTCTGGTTGAGGAGGAAGCATTGGTGGACATTTTGATATTTCTGAAACTTTTTCATTAGCTAAATAAAAAATTAATCAATGAAATAATTTAAAAACAAAGTCGAATGATAAATTCAAATCATTATGAAAAGGATATTTATCGTTTGAATCCATCGATTTTTTTAATATGGGTTCCTGCTCTGAAAATGATGAGAAAATAAAATAAATGCAGAAAATGCTTCTCACTTGTGTATTTAAAGCAGGTAGTGAATAATATTTCAATATGGCTGACTAAATGTTTGATGATAAAAAAAAATGATTAACTTAATGTCAGACAAGGTATCTTTACGTTGATGTTTTTGTTGCTAAGTGATCATTCAGAATAAAAAAAAGCTTTTTTCTCTTTGTAGAACAAAAAAGCTATTAGGCACTTCGATCTGTCAACAAATAGCTTTCAAATGTTGAACATACAAAGAAAAGTTAAATTTAGGCTCTTGTTGAATTTAACATAATGTTCAATGAAAATTGGCTCAATCGAGCTTAAGATCTTTATTAGAAATCATTAAATCTGTTGTTACCGATAATAATCTTGTTTTATTCGGATGTCGAATAATTTTTTCAGTCGATATTTTGTTTAAAAGCGTTCCTTTTCTTTCTTTTAGATAAAACATTGACAAACAACTTGAAAAATGAAAACAAAACACGAAAAAAGAATTTTATTGCGAATAATTCTTTTCAATTTGGGTCTATGAAAACAGTTTATTTAAAGAAATAAAAATCAGAATGTTTTTTTGAAATATTTCTTATTTAAATAAACAGAAAATGAATTAAATTGATTGCTTTATCGAAATATCAATCAACGAAAAACAAAATATTGTATTTGAAATATGTAGAATTAAATAATACTTTTTAGGTTGAAAATATATCGATGTTTTATAGAAACATTTGAAACAGAATTTTTCGCTAAAAAATTGATATAATAATATACAATAGATTTTTTCAAATGAAGAAATATAATTTTTTTTTTGATTGGAATACATGTAAATGCTTTTAATGAAAATAAAGTTATTGATTTAAGAAGATTGATGTGGGTGTGGCTAGGCTGTAGGTGTGGGTGTGAGTTTTTTCTTCATCGATGCTCACACATCCGCATCCACACTTTCTGTATGACTAGGATTGTGGTAGAAGTCAAGCTCAATCGAATACACTATACCACCATATCGAGCAACTCTGCTTTTTTGTTACAAAATCTTAAGCAGAAGAATGCTTTGAATAGTGCTGGGAGTTGCCTGGTTGACGTCATACTTTATAATT